ATGCACGGTCTGCAGGCCCCATGGCTTGAGGGTGAACTAGAGATGGCTTTTGCTGGCAGTGGAGACATATCCAATGACTTGAGTTTGAGCAACATGCCTAGGAGTCTCACTGCACGAAACATATGGCAGTGCTCAGGTCTACAGTCTTCAGGAACTCCCCTCATTTCTGCATTTCTCTTAGCCCTTATGCATTTTATTCCTTCCTCTACAGAGATGTGCTGTCCTGCCTCACTCCTTCCACAGCTCACTGTTGTTATTAAAGCCAGCTGGCCACTCTTCTGTCTCCATGTGCCCCATCATCCTCTTCACAACAGTGTGGATGAAAGAGGGAGAACAGGGTCAGAAAGATCTACCACCAGCAGCTGAAAGCAAGCTGAACGTGGGACCTCTTCTCTCTCTTCTTAAAGAGGATGCAAGCAAATGCCAATGGTATCCAAAGTACTTGAAGGGCTGGAAAGACTTGGAGCAGTACAAGAAGTGGATTCCAAAAAGGGTGATGCAAAGACAAGAGGAAGTCAGAGCATCTTCCAGCCTCTCCCAAAGCCATCTCCTCCTGTGGGTGGCCTGCAGAAGTATCTGAATATGGCATTTACCAATACATAAACATGTGGCTAAGGCAACCCAAATATGGCTTCCTTAGCAGAAATACTTTGTAGAAATGGTGCCTGATTAAAGGCTATGGGATTTCACCCGTGATGTAACAGATACCACGAAAAAGCACCATTACTGCAAGGGGTAATGCAACCCAAACTGTTCAACCCGGGGGTTCCAGCACCACTCATCAGCTTTGTTGCTCTTCCTCATACCTTTTTCAGATTTACCATATCCTAGAGATGAAGGGCATAAACTGCACACAGTGATGCAGACTGTGAAAGAGGTGTACATGGTAGTGGGAGAAGCAGGTTACAAGCAGGAAAGGGACAGCGCTGAGGGCTCCTTCGTAAAACAGGATTGTTATTTCTGCTGCAAACATTTTATACAGCCCTGGTCTTATCACTTAGAGTAAGCTTTTCACAATTGATCACTATTCTGAGTATCTAATGTGAGAACTGAAGCCAGATCTTCATCAGTGCTGAATTCTAACAAGTGCCTCCTGGTTGTGCTTTCCACACAGAGGAGGCTATAAACGGTATTCTGAAAAACTAGTCCCTAGATGTCTCAAGACAGACACCCAAAATGGATAGCTACTGTTGACAGTTTTGGCTTTAATCTTTGTACATCGATGCTAAGGAGAACATGACTTAAAAATGCCCATTTGGAAATAAACAGTTCTTTATTCATTGCATGCTCTGAACAACACACCCCAAATATGGCATAGGGCCACATCAAATGGGGATAACAAAAAGAAATAATAATCACTCATTCGCTGAATGCAGCTGAGGGCCTGTAGAAAATTTAATAAAGGGCCTTGTAAGGCTGTATTACAATGCCCTAGCTCAAAACTGTACAGGCAGTCTTGGTGCCCAATCTGTCAGAGCCTGTCCTGGCAACTCATACCCTCTTTAGATGCAAAGATTATATATGTTAAATATCAACAAATGAACAGTGGGAGGGAGTTCTTTTGGGAACAGCCTGAAATACTTTGCTCCTTTTCCTGGCTGGGGGCATGCAGTAATCATGGCATAGCCTCGTGTTTCAAATCCTCTTGATGCTCAGGACCCAAAGCATGACCCACCGATCGGTGGGCTATGGCAGCAGCTCTGGCCAGCTGCGCGGGAGCAGCCCAGCTCCTGTCAGCCAGAATCAACCAGCCACTGGGGGAAAATCCCGCCCTGCGCTTAGTTAATACCTGCCATTCACTTCTGCCTTAAATAAAACATTGAAAAACACACACAGAATGGATGGGGGTATTTTTAAAAACTACAGTTCAAATCCTATCCATGCTGGGTGAAACCCTGGCCCTGCTGAAGTCAGGAACATCCACCTGCCAAGATTTTACCTCTGCTTTTTATCTGTGTTTGGGTATGCAGGTTTATCTTTCTGCCTGCCTTTCTCTCCTGCCTGGGGCTTTGTTCATTAAACTTATTATTTTGCTTTTTTTTTCCAGTTTGTGGGAAGTTCTTTTAAATCCTGTGCTGACATCTATTTCACTTATAGGATTTTTTCCTCAGGATAAAGAATAATAGTTTGATTTGTGACACTGCAAGCCCTTAGGTACCGAAAGTTTATTGCTTGGGTTTTTGTCTAACTTGGAATCTGGCTGTGACAGGTAGAGGTATAGCACATATTCAGGCCATAGGAAAAAGGCTTTGTGGGTGAGCGTTTTCAAGCCCTCAGGTCTTTCTCTAAAATTTCAGATTGTCAACCATGCCATAGCTTGTCAATGAGACAGATGCCCCAACTTTGAAAGGGATGCAGAAATGAACACAAAGGAAATAAAAGAATCTATGCAAGTGACAAATAAGCTACGCACAAGTATCCAACCTCAAGGAAAACGCATACTAACTTACATTACATTATGAAGATAAAATAAGATTTACTGAATGCTAATTTTTCTCATCAGCATATCACGAGTACAGACGCAATGCTAGAAATGGTGACAACATTTGTGTCTAAGTCCCTACTTCTTTCACAGAGAGCATCCTCTTAAACTTAATGGAAATATAAATATAAAACATTCACTGCAATAAAAGTCTCTGGAGATAGAGCCTAAGTCGCATCATTAGTATGGAAAATGCTTCATAAATCCTAACTCCAATAACCTCTGGTAACGTAAAGGATTCATCTCATTATGACTTTCTAACAGAGCCTTGTTAATTCTCATTTCACTAATCTGCGACCTTGAAAATTCCCTCTCCACATTTCAGTAAAGTATTGACAGCCGAAGGAAACAGGGAGGTATTCCAGCAAGGGTTACAGATGGCAAATATATTCCAAAACACTCACTAGTTTTATATAAAATACTGTGCCTGACTAAATTAAATAACAAGCCTTTCATAAATTATCATCCAGCATTTTTATTCCAGCATTTTAAATCAAATATCATCATCCATCAATTAATTTATCACACAGAATCTTTTCCAAGGCTGCTCCCAGTCAATTAGAGGAATAAAAGGGGTTCTGCATTATGGATATTTCTCCTGACATATGTCTGAGACGAAGTATCTAATTTTGGAACTAGTTCCTACTGGCTGTAAGCTTTTCAGACTGCTATTAACATTAAAAATCTTGAAGTGCATATACACACACATACATACACACACATATATATAAGTGTGTATATATATATATAGACACACACACACGTGTTAGTAGAGACTTGTAGGTGTACATCTCCTGGTACCACTAATGTGGCTGCATAGTTTACTGAAGACTTGCACAAACATAACTCTGCTTATAAGGTAGTTTGGGTGAGAAGGCAAAATGACAGAACACAAGAAATTCTGCCCAATTTTGTTCAGACTCGAGAGCTGGCTTTGCCTCTACTGCCCTAGAGTGTATTTTGAAAAACATTAAAACCTCCTTTAAATGTAAATATACCTTAAAAAATGACCCTTGTTTTTTCCAACACTAGGCAGACAGCAACTTAAGTAATTGCTTACCAAAAAGGGACTACTGATCATGATTAGGTACTAATGTCCAAGTTGTGAATCACTTCACTACCACAGCTATAAAATCTAGAGAATTAAAACATTTGTTTGCCATTATGCAACAACCATTGTAATACTGGCTGTGAAATGCAGTAAAATTTTGATGCAAAATGGATTAGTGCAGACGACATCATCAAGTGTTCCACATTTAATTCTCTTTTGTTATTAATTTTACAACATCTCAGGCGATAGTACTATTCCATTAGTGCAAAGTATAGTTATATTTTATCAGTACACCCCTCCAAAAGGGCTGAAATCGAGACAGATTTCAAAACGTATTCCTTTATACTTGTCTCTGTGTGGTTTACAAGCGAACACATTGACACCTGGGGTACCAGTGTGCCTGACCTCTGAGATTTACACGAAGGAGAGAGAAGCAGAGCGCAGGAGCAGCTTAGAGCCACAGAATGACCTTGGTGAAGCTGGCACCAGTGGTTTGCCCTTTAAAACTGCTGTGCATTACCATGTGCTGGCTTTCTGTACACCACTCTCAGTGAAAACACTCCTCATACCCCCAGGCTGCTTCTCTCCAGCTCATCTGCACTCTCATGTGGAGGAGCCATCATTACCTCTCCCTAATCCTCAGCAGCAGAGCTCTATCAGTGGGATGTCCATGGGGGAAGCAGGGAAAAGGAAGAAAGGTAAGAATTTATTTTAGATTTCAAAATGCTGATGTATTTGAGTTAGTGGGTGGCACACCTGGGCTGTACTAGAAACAACAGCTCTAGGTGCAGAAACACCAAAGCTGTCCGGCCATCAGGAGGAAGCACATTATACTGTATAACTGAAGCCTGGCATGAGGAATCCACTGTTTGTTATAAAATTAAGGAAACAAAAATGTGTCATTTTTCTCCTTGATATGAGTTCTGCAGGGTGACATTTTTTACCTCCTGCCTATCCCATGCATTGAGAGCACATCTAACAAATACGTTAAGTTAGGATGTTTGACGTGCATTTCCTATTCCCATTACTTTGATGCTAATTTCTGTAAGGTTATGAAAGAGTGGTCTTGCAAGTTCTTTCCCTCCTCACACACAAGAGTTCTGCCCAGTTCTGTGGTGCAGAAGCAAAAAGCTTCTGTTTTTCTAGCCACAATTTCTCACTTTAATAGTGTAGAAGAGCATGATATCTTCTGCCTTCAAAGACGAAATTTCTTGAGCACCCATCACTTTGTTACTACAGTCCAAGTTACAAACCTTTGAAAGTCATGAAAGTCTCAATATATTTTAAATATGTTTTACTTCTCAGCCCATTTAAAAAACATATATGCCAATATTTCATTCCCCTAGAAGCCTTTCACATGATGTCACAGAGTCTGACAAAACTTTAAGATACTCTAAAAGAAGAAAAATGAAAAGGCAACCGAGCTTTATTTTAGAAAGTAAAAGATAAGCTAGAAAATGAACATACCAACAGCCATCATGTAATCCCAGCGGTCTATGAGGCACATATTGAAGATCAAGTGGTCAGATGTTTGCCCTTGGCCAATGAGTGGAATGTTTCTCTCCAAATTTTGGGTTATTGCAGAAGTCCAGCCAACAAGAAACCAAAAGACTATCAGGAGAATAACAGCCAGCATCCTCATCACTCGTCCACCTGTCATGTATGGAATACGCTGAGCAGTTCGGGATAGGAATACCTTCAAAACCCTGAAAAATTCACACAGTGCAGAATTAAAAAGAGCACTAGCTGTGTTGCAGGAATTAGAATTTCATTTTATTTCACTATCAGATTATTGAAAAAAAATTATCAACATTCTTTCCCCTGACAAGAGTCAAACAAGAGTGAAATCTGAAACATTATTACTTTCATATTCATCGTATTTAAATGGAACTGATTGCTGCCCAGAGAGTGCTAGACAGCAATAATAGAAAATATTAGCTACGCTTATGTTAGACATGCATTCACATGCTGTGTTGTCAAGCTGTTTTGCACCTTCCAGCTCCCCATTGAAGACTTCTGTCTTTGGAAAAGGGAAGGTCATTTCCAACCATGTGTGTGAGATTTCATTTTGTTTTGATGCTGTCTCTCTGCTCATCGCCAATCATACTATTTCCAGAGAAAAAATTAGCACTCCTTGGATATTTTTCCCATTAAGTTTGATGCTTCTGAGACAATACCTTACCCCTTGTAGAAAAACAGTGGAAGGCACTTTCCTAATTAAGTGTTTTTTGACTTGTTTAGAGGCAACAACATGTTTTTCAAGCTGGGACAGAACCATCATGAGAAAAGCCACATCATATGTCTGGCACATATACCATGTAACAGCCATTGAACATGTAGCACTCACTTTAAAAATATTTGCACTTACTATAAGGATAGGTTTACTCCCACCAAGAACTGTTCAAGGAAATATCACCTGCATTTTCTACCCATCACCACCTGCCAAAGCAGAAAAAGGTCCTGCTGGGAGCATGAAGGCAACCAAAATTTGAGGAAATAGGCTCAGGAAGAGGGAGTAGCTTGACTCTTCACGTAGCACAGAATATCTCTTTGTGTTGCCTGCAGCACGGGATCTGGCAGAAGCATCTAACTTTCTCCTGGTGTTTTCCTACGAGAAAGGGAAGCTGCAAGGGGCTGCTGCTGCCATTCCAGTGCTCCTGCCATTGCAGTGTTCCTGCTTTGACCCTGCCAAGTAACTAAGGCTGGGCAGTGAGGAAAGGCTGTCACTGAAGTTTTCATGTACCCAAACCTTCAGAAGCAGATGGGCTGAATTTTCAAGGTTTTTTTAGAGATTGGGGCGAGGAACCTTTCAAAGTAAAAGGTGAGCTGTTTCAGTGATTTTGTCCTCAAAACCATGGTGGTTGCTGATTCTTGAGCATGAGCGTGTCCAGTGAACTGAAGGGACAAATTATCACTGAGGTTTAGGGAACCTCAATTTTTTCAGAAAGTTGAGTTTTTAAGCACCCTTGTCAGCTCTCAAGTCTTTTCAGCATACCAAGCACCAAGCCACCTCCCAAGTTGTTCCATGGCCAGGCCCGCCTTTTCAGCAAAAAATAAAATCACACTCCAGATTAATATTTATGCTTATATTTGTCTAAGAGAAGGCAGAAGCAACTGGTGCTGCCTCTCAAACAAATAATAGAGCAGTGTCTTTTAAGGCAGAAGCACAAAAGCTTTTCCACATCCATAAAAATGAATCATCGTTTGACTACAAACACAGCCTTCACAGTGTGCATTAGGTGAAGTCAGAGATCTGAATATGTTCAACATTATTCAGCTGTTTCCCTCCCAACAGTTACTCTGCAGGGAGTCACAGTTTTTGATCTTTCCGTGTTTGATAGATGTTCTGCTCTCCCTTTACAGATGCTAAGTGGCTTATGTTGGAAGCATCTTCCCAAAGACTTCAGGCAGGATAGACAGACAACTCCACAGTGGCAAGGCAGGCGACTCCCTCCGCATTGCTCAGCCACACCACTATTGTTCCAGGGCAGCACTGGTAAATCCTCATTTTTAGAATACAAAATCAATAAGCGAAGGCTTTCCTCCTCCCTGTTGTGAATGCCAATCAATACTTAGCTTCTTTGAAGGGAAGGAAAAGGTATTCTTTCTGTAATGCGCTGGAAAACACCATGTTTTCACAGATACAGTTTGCTATTTGAGAAAAATATCATGCATGTTTATGAAGCTTTAAGAATTGCAGAAATTGTACAAACCAACTGAGAACTACTAGAAACTTTTCTTTTCTTTGTATTTTGGGTCTCCAAAGTAAATTCTTGGTGATTCTACTGAAAGCCAACATGTGAGCCTTTTCTGGATGTAACAAGGCAGGACCCAATACATTCTTTCCAGTACTAGGTCATTAACTACTGACTGTGAGACAGCCTTCTAAGGGAGAGGGGTGGGCTGCTATTACCTTATTGATCTAAGCACAGTGAAACAACATTTTGCATTACAGCAGTCAAAACCCCTCCAATTTGGACCAAACCACATTTCTTTTTCTCTCATCTTTTTCGCAAAAATAAATGTCCACCACCACCACCACCACCATTTCTACCGTGAACAGTAGGCCTACATGTAACCCAACCTTTACACTTTTTTTTTTTTCAAAAATCCTTTTTCTAGGAAGCTGTAAGGAAAGCTGAGCAAGATGCGTAGTGTTGAAAATCTCCTTTCCAGAGGCTGTGGCATAAAAGTACTCAACCAGAACATGAGCTCCAGAGTTGCAATTCACTCATCTTCCTACCACAACGTGAATCCAAACCCACGTTGCTCACCACCTCAACACTAGCAGACATGCTCCTTCTCCTCTCGTTGCCTATGTATTATTGAACATGTATCAAAGCAGAGACAAGTGCCCAGGAGTTTCCCTTCCCAAGAGCATGCCTAATCACCAGGCTGGAGAGTCATTCTGCTTAGGGTACCTCTTACTCATATGTTCACCACAAAAAAGTTGAATCACTGCAGTATGAGACCAAATTGCCTCAGCAAACACATATTGTCTGATAACTGGTACCCTCCATCAGAAAATTGGGGAGTTCTTGATTCAAATCCCTGCCCTGATTTCTGGGTAGGCAATGCTGTGTCCGCCTTTTTTGCACTGTTCTATATCTATATATTGGGTTGAAATACCTATTGAACAAATGAGAGACATTTCTCACAGGGAGGTAAGAAGTGGAGCTGGTGGGCTGCATCTATACTAGGAAATTAAATATGCCCAGCGTTGTCCCTGGCACTGATGCCAACTGGCACAGAACAGACAGCATCCGTACTATTACCCTCCAACACAGGGCAGCGGCATGCAAACTGCCCTCTGCAACGGCCTGTGTCAAATCCTGAACCATGCTGGGAAATGGCTTGGGAGCATTCAGGTTAGCACGGGCCAAGGGCAGGCCAGGGACCACTAGAACAATTCAGATGATGGAGACAGGACAGATGATGAGTTCCAGTGCCCAGGAATGTTCTCTGATGCTACTTAATTTATGAATATAGATGTAGCTCTGGATTCAAATCCCTGAACAAATTAAAGTTTAATTATGAGTATCAAGTAAGGCAATACCAACTGGAAAGACTCCTCCTCCTGTCCTGTGTAACCCCCAAATGCCTGGTAGTGCCAGGTAGTGTCCTGGTGGAAGCTTAGGGCACACTTCGATATGTATGGCCTCTGATCTAAGGTAGAAGAAGGAACTTAACCATCTTCTTCAGCTTCTAGCTCTTCTCCCAGCTAAAACCATTCAGCATATACAATACACTTTTATGTGCTGTTGTTGGATAATCAAACCATCATTTTCAGTGACATGTCATCAGCTCTGTCTATAGGCAGATCAGACAGAACACTGCAATGAGCACATTTGCTATAAGGCACAGCTGCCTTCAAGCAAAGCTTTGACCTACAGACAGCTACAGGCAGGCAACATTAAAGCTGATATGCCACAGCCATCCTTTTTACAGAGTAAACAGAAGGCGCAGTTCAGGCTGAGTGAACTGCCTGGAGACCACTGCAGGTAACTCCCAAATCTGTTGGCTGCACTATTAAGTCTGAGGAGAATATGGGTTTTTTGGGGGGGCCTGGCTCCATATAAACGGATAAGGGGAGGCCTTGGTTACAAACACTGAGAGCTGAGAGCCAAGGGAAGCCCAGCAGCTGGGAAGAGAAGCGGTGCAAGTGGATCTGAAGCAGAGGGACAGAGAATGCTGGTTCACAAGCAAAGCACGTGGCTGCTGCTGTAGAAGTTACATCCTGAGATGTAATGTGTAATCTTAGAAAATAAATAAAACCATACTAAATCTTCATGTCATATCAATAATCTGTCCTGTCAACAGAAAACATAGCCCCCAAACTATCAGCTGACGGCATAAGTGGCAGAAACAACAGGTAAAGGATCCTGCTTTGACAGCAATGACCTGGCACAGTTTGTTTATTTTTTATTTCTAGCATCTGTCATTCTGTGGCTCTACTGAGTCATCCTGTCAAACTGTTCTGTTCCAGACTGATGATTTTTACTGTGATATGAAAGCTACATCAGAAAGATAACCGGTCAAACTCTCATGAAGTATGTTGCCCTCCTATGGTGCAGGGATTATGTCTTACCTGCTTTCTCTGGAGTAAAAGCGAACATGCTACTAGTTACTTTGAGTTTGTAAACTGAGGTGATTCTACTAAAACCAGTGAAAATGTACTGATGGCACATGCATGGCTCCATGTCAATACAAAAGAGAGCCTACACTTCAACTTGACACACAGGTGCCCACACACAAACACTGAGTGCAGGTTTTATTTCCACATCAGGAAAGATGACTGAAGAAAGAACATCAACACTTAAGGTCCAAGATGTCACAATTTGTATTTAGATGCACTCATACCACTAGTTACTGGCTCTCGGCTGGAAAGGATAAAACCAAACTGAGAGAGAGAAATCAACAGCTTTCTAAACCACTTCCCACCTGAAAGTCTCCAAATTAGTCATTATCTACTTCCCAAGTGATTTGTCAAGACCTCAGCATAGAATAGACGAGAAGTCCAGAAGGTATCACTGAAATCAGGATGATCTTTTGTTTTATTGAGTCTGATCATCTTGAACCTGAGCAAACCTGGGCTGAGAGCCATGCCATGTCAGCAGTATGACAACAGCATGGCGAGACCTGCATCATATATATCACATCCTGTCCAGTGAAAAGGTACAACAATTCGAAAAAGAAGTTCTGGCAA